GTTTTACTTTGCTTACAACTACAATCAAAAGAATATATCATTCCTTTTTCTTTTGTTATTTCTATAATATTTATATTTTTTAAACAAATCATTTTTTTCTGGGAATATAATTTAATTTCATACATTTTTTATTCCTTGGTTTGCTGTTAATTATCTTATGTATCCATTTATCTAGTAATTGTTAAATAAAAATATTTTTATCTGTTGTATTTCCATTTGTTGGTTTTCTCTCTATCCTTGATTAATATATTCAAAATGTATATAGATAAAAAACTTCATAGTTAATGGCATGTTTGATTTATAGTTGAATATCTTAGATATATACATGCATAGGTTTAACATATTTTTTTATATTCTAGTTTATTTTATTCTTTTTCTATCATAATATCTAAATAATTAATACTATTTTGCTTTTTTGTTTCTATTTTAAACTGTATATTTGCTTATTTCAATATTAATTCTTTCTGTATTGTTAAATATAATAATACAGTCATATACATACTTATTATAAAATTGAATTCCTTTGATGAAAAAATAAGAAATATAAATCAGTATCATAAATATTTCTGCCAATCCCAGGCCTATATATGTTCCAATTGCTTCTATTTGAGTAATATTTTTCATTGCTATTATACATAAATTAATTATCCATTGTAGAGCTTTTGCTGTTGTAATGAATTTTTAATATCTTCTCTAGATATGAAAAATATGTCTTTAGTGATGTTTAAATACATTAATCTTATATTATTATTAATGGTTATATTTTCGTTTTCTAATCTGTTTAATAATTGATCAACATTTTTAAGGCTATATTTTGATATTTCTAATAAATTTAACTTATTTTTTAAAAAATTTTTCTAAATTATAGTATATATAATATTTGACATCTATTAAAGTTCTATACTTAACTGGTTCTTTGTGTTTTCACTTTAATATTAAATTTTGGTGTTTTGTCTTCATCTGTTATTATTTGCTGATTTTTCAATTTATTTAATTTTGTATCCGATAACTTTGTCAAATTTTTCCATTGGCCCCTTTCTTAATTGCTTGTATCTTCCTTCTTGTGTAACAATTCATTTATTACTTCTTTTTTCTTTTCAGTTTTCATTAATTATCACTTGTTTCATCTTTTCTAGTAAAAAATAACTTGGAATTGTTACAAGGAGATATGTTTTTACATTATTATACAGTTTATTCACTGTTAGAGGGGTGGTGCATTTGATAGGAAAAAGTTACAAAAATTTTTAAAGTTACAAGTATAAATAATACTCTTAATTTAATGTCCGTAATTACAATGCCAGATAATAACAAGGTTAATAATACAGAGAAATAATAATTTTATTGTTTGATATTATTCTGTAAAAGTTAAGTTAGATTTCTGTGGTCTTGATGAACTAATTATATAATTTCTATAAATCTTATATTATCTTTATTTATTCATTCTAGAACCAAGGAATGGACCATATTAAATTATTTGCTTATTATTAAGTGTATCACATAAACTTATTAAACCTTGACAATCATGTAACAAATGATTAAGCAAAAGTCTCTCAAACTTCAAACTTTTAGCCTTTTAACTTATGATACAAATAATAAATGATTATATCTAAGACTATAACTGTCCCACTGTTAGTATCAATTGAATCAGGAACAATAACACAGCAATTTTCAATTCAACCAAATATCTTGAAGTATTATTACTAATCCCTTGATACTTTTCAAATTATTAATAGCTTCCTGTTACAAGGATATTAAAAATTTTTGATAGAAAAATGATCAAATGCATCAATCATTGTTATGATGAATTCCGAGCAGCAGTCTAATAGAAATTCTAAAATTGTTAAATCAATGGTGGCATTCCACTGTGCTACAAACAGGTATATACAGCCAGATAATCAGATTTTTAGAAAAGCAAATGTTTTGAATTCAAGAGTAGAATCATTGTATCATGAATCAATTAAGTCAGAAATAAGTGTGCTAGAATCTCCCAGTAATAAGGTGAAAGAGTTATATATAGCCAGGCATCATAATTAATTTGTTGTTTCCACTTCCAAATATAAATACTTTCATAGATATTAATAATAGTATACAACTATCAGATCTTTCATATGAAGCATTGTATCAAGGATCTTTTTAATTGGAAAGCATAGCCCACCACTTAAACAGCCAGCTACCTGTATTTTACATGCCAATGCTGTTTCTATTATGAATTAAATGAAAGAATTTGCTTATACACAGTTAGATGTTAGCCATATCTCAATTATTCCAATGATATCTGAATTGAATTTTAATTATAGAAAATTAAGTAGAAGTATTTTAGTTTTGAATCCCTAACAATCCAACTTGCAGCTATTTCTGGCAAGGAGAAAGGAAGAAAAATCTCAACATTAACCAGTTTTCCCAATTCAACACAGTATGTCAGTCTATCTTGACCTAATATTAACATATCATTACATAATTTTACTTGATGGTTTTGTTTTCTAATATCATAAAAATAGGGAGTAATAGTTTATTTCTAAGTCTAGATGCCCTTGTCAGATTTGGGGAGATCTGCATATCTGACCAATCATTCAGTAAATTTTGCTGTTTCATTTTTATGAAATTTGTGAAAAAATTATCTCAGATCTGATTATTTTGTAGAGTTATCTTATCACTAAGTTTGTAAATTTAGTTAGTTGCATTATCTCCAGAATATTGTCATGTGATGCACTCCATATATTCAATACTGAAGTAATAAAGTTATATATTTCTAGTTTGAAAATGTTCCTTGAGGACAGATAATTATAAAGAATTATATTATTTTGGAGAAATTCATTAATTTGGACATCCATTTTATATTGCATAATTTCTTTTTCAGATTTTAAAGTCTCAATTTGCTGTTTTAGATTATTAATTTGTTCTTGCATATCTCTATATTGCTCTTTAGTTTCTCAAATACTCTCATGTATGAGATCCAAATCTTCCCTAATAGACATCATTTGGCTTAAAAGTTTTCCATTAGAGGAAAGAATCAAGTCAGAAATTTTGTTCCATAGAACTGCTGTTGGGATATCTGATGAACTATTTGGATTCGTTAAAGAAGTAAAGTAAGAATTATTTGGCTCACCTGGAGATATTTGAGGACTTTGAGGAGTAATCCCTGAAACAAATCAACATCAGCTGAAGTTGATTCCTGTGAATTTTTATCACCAAGCAAGTTATAGTCTGTTATAAGTTTAGAAGTGGTCGATGATGATAAATCTTTTCTACTACCATGTTTGGCACGATGTAATAGTGGTCTTCCTTTTTTGGTCAGTGAATGTTGCATTTCATTAATTATTATTGGAGCAAATATTTATTCAATAAAATAAATTAAACAAAAATCACCAACACTAATTCCTACAAATTCATCAAGTGAGCAACAAAAATCACTAATAGTCTCGACTACTGAACACACCCCCATTTTTTTTACATTATTTAATTGTCTTTTATAAGTTATTACCTTATCTAGTTTCTGATTTTTAATTATGTTTTGCATACCTAATCTTATTGTATCACTTTCTTCTTAAGAAATTTTCCATAATAGATGTTCTGTAAATACTGCAAAATCTTCTATTTTCATTATTGTTGGTCCATTAAAGTTTATTCCTAATTCTAAGTTCTTCTTATTGGAATGGGTATTTCAATATCTGTTGTGTTCACTATCAATTTTTTTCTCCATTCTTCTTTTTCTATAAGTGATGGATATCCCAGTTTTTTGCATTTATCTTCAGGATCCACTACCAGGATCTTCTTTTTCTCTCTTTTCTTTTTTCGTTTTTCTATTTGCAAAAACTGAAATAATATATTAACACCAGTATAATAAGTCCTACTAAGTCCAACATAGACAATGATATGACTAAAAATGAATACTTTCATTATTTTTAGATTTTTTTATGAATAGTTCTATAGATTCAAAATAAATTTTTATTAAATCAATCTTGCTCTTTGTCTCATTATGGTAAGAGAAAATATTTAACAGTTTATCAAAAGGAAAAAATAAAACTTTTTTTCATTTAATCAGAAGAATACTCTCAATATTTCATACAAAGTGGATAATCATCGGGCTATGGGAACATAGACCTGTTTTAAGTCCAACATAGTATACATAAATGAAAATGCACTACCCACCAGATGATGAAAGATAAGTTATATTAGAGATTTCTACAAAAGCATCATATCAAGACACACAGATAAGTCTTGCTACAGAATCCTATCTCATCTGTCCACTACCATTGGCTGCCTCATACTTACAAATCTGAAAAGACACTGTCCCCATGTGACACTACATTCCAGAGACTAGTTTAATCATAGACAGTTGGAGGTAAGTAACTACTCCACACCTTCCATGTATTCTGTCCAACCCACACAACTTATCTACAATTTTATGAAATTTGAAGCCACTTAGAATGCTCTAACATAGTGTTAGACTCATACATAACAGACAGCATCTTTGCCTAATGCATCCATTGAACTAAAAGTCTAGAAGTCCTTATAACAACTTCTCTGACTCTGGCTCTCTCATTTCAATTCTTTTTCACAACTTTACTGGCATATGTAGGTGACAAAGCATTAGATGAGGATTTTTGGCAGGCTTGCATTTACAGTAAGCCCATCACATTTATCAATCTGGACAGACGACAGTGCATCAATCACACCCATTCACAAATTAATGCATTTACTAGTTTCTTTACTTGTGGCCATATTCAATATAAATAAAAGGAGGGAGATATCAGTCATCCTAATCTTCATGGATGCCAGAATCCTCTCAGGAATTGGAACTGTGTTTAAGAACCTCCTCACAAAGTGATTTGGTCTGCTTGGTTTTCCAGGAATGTCTTTGTCATATTGTCTAACTTCCATGGCTTGCCCAGTCTCCAGATTTGTCACCCACTTAAATGTTTGCCTGCCCATACTCATCTTCACATAGCTTAAATGCTTGAGTTGGGTCACTCCCTCATCCTTAATCTTTCTGCTTCCAGTTCTCCAGGATGGCTATAATCATTCCATTAACTTTGTCACCTAGAATAGCTAGTGAAAAAGCTAAGAACTACTGCTATCTGTTCATTTACCAGGTGATCATTATTGGTTTGTGACCTGTTGTCACCTGGCTCAGCAGACCTGATTTTTTTAATCTCTACACATGCTCACCAGGCACTTACAGTTGTCCTTTCCATGTTTGCACTTGCTCATTTTATTCTTCTGGTTTTCTCTTGTTCTTTGTAAATTTTTTTTACACTATACACTTTTATTCTAATTTTTTCTTTGCAAATTAACATGCGTGTAGACTTTTGTGAGTCCAAGACAGATCTTTCAGGTTCCTAATTTGTCCATCTCAAGCCATTATCATGCCAAAACTAGTTCCCTTACCTGTCTGTCATGATTGAACACAGACTGCTGTGGATTGGTAGTATTGTCTTTAGCAATGAATCTCAGTTCTGTTTGGGAATGGACAACCATTAGTGAGCAACTAAATCCCATCTTTACTGTTGAGTGGCATATTGTTCCCAACTATTGGAGTGCTGATCTGGAGGCCATCTCCTATGACAATCCATCAGCCCTAGTAATGGTACAAGGGCACTGTGGTATAAATTCAGGAAATTCTGCACCTTTCATGATAGGGCTACAGCTCTTTCATTTCCAGTAAGATGATGGTCATCCACATATAAGCTAAGATTTCCCAGGAATGTCTTTAGGCAGGCCAATGTGACAGTCTCTGGATATGTCACCCATCAAGAATTTATGGTGGCAGGATGGTTCAGCTTTAGCCATTCCTCACGCTTCTAGATGGCTGAAGCTGAACCATCCTGCCACCATAAATTCTTGGAAAAGCTGTAGCCCTATCATGAAAGAAGCAGCAATTGCAGCATTATGAACAAATCTCTCACAGGATGGTATATATCACTGCATGCACTGTACTTAGGCAAGAGTAGACCTTACGAGGTACTAAAGATTTTTCTAAATTGTATCATTACTTTGCTATGGTATTGCTCCAAACATTATTACCATTGTCATTAATTGATTACAATAAGTTTCATTTGATTCTATGCCCCATTCTTGGTATGCAATTTTTTGATAATGAGTGTATTTTTAAAAATATCAAAACAAATTAACCACTTATCATCATAAACACAATACAAATTAAACTTAAGATTACAAATTCATTCTACCATTTTTATCAGAGGACCTCAATTAATGCAGTTTGGTTTAAAGAGAAGAATTTGAATCAACCTTGAATTTCATGTTTTTAGATAAATATAAAAGTGCTGTCCATTAATCACAATACAGTTTTTAAGCCAATGTTGATCCCATCTATCTCTTAATTGTATACATAATTGTGCAAAACAAAGGGAGGGAGTTTGCCAAAACTACAATAGTTAATAGACCTCCCTGAAATTGAAGGAATTACTTTTCTAACTGATAATAATCATATGAATGAACTAAGTAGACTTACAAGAAGAATTCCTTATACCACTAAAAAAATCCACATTGACAATACATTGATCCCTTCCCTCTTCACTGTGCACAATAATACACTTTTTGCAATCACCTTCCCCTTCAACTGTACACATAAAAACCATAGATTTTATCATCTCTCTAAGAGACACTCTTTTAAAATTGCTAAACACTATAATCACATGTGCAAAGAGAATTTATAATTAAAAGTTTAATGATTAAGTTTTATTTATAGTAAAAATATATTAATAAAGTAATATTATTGCATTTTAGCATTAATGCCGAGTTGTCTGATCCAATGGAATGTTGTATTTGTATGGAAAGGGATTCTGAAATAACATTACCTTGTGCTCATAGTTACTGTCTCGTTTGTATAGAACAATGGTTTGTATTATATTTAATTGTTTCAAAACATTCTTTTACTTTTATATCTTGTAATTAATATATATTGAAATATTTTACAGGAATGTTTCCAATAAAACATGTCCGATATGTCGCGAGAAACTGGAAAATACAGACGACTCTTGGGTTATGTCCGAAATACCAGATACAGAGATAGTTTCTGCTGAATTATTACAAACACTCATGGGAATGATTGAAAAAATAACATGAGAAAAGTTCTAAACTGAATTACTTCAAATTACTTATCATTGTGTATTATAAATAATGATTTTTTTCATAGGTAACAATCAAATAAAGATTTAAGTTTAGAACACATTTATTTATGTAATCTAAAATATTAAGATATTAGTTATGTTAAATGATTGTAATTTTAATGGTGCATGAAATCAGTGTATATTCAGCTCATTTTTTAAGAAAATTTTTGGTATTATGAAGATATTTTCCCCAAATTAATCTGCAAAGTTATATAAAGTAAAATTGTTAGTTTAGTTTAAGAGTGAACATAAATATCAGCACCTATTTAATGTTTTGTGTAATATGAAGGAAGTAATGTTATCAATTCAGAAAATATTCTGTAGCACATAAATTCTTATATTGTGTATTTTTCCTCCATATGATTACCCCATTAATGGCTAGATCATAATGTAAATGTTACATTAATAGTTACAAGTCAACACAGTAATTTAAAATAAGAATCTCTCTAATAAAACTCATTATTTTAATTGGAATCTATAAAAATATGTCTGAAACTGTAGCATTTCCATTATGACAACTTTTTATGTTATCAAAATTTTTAAAACTGGGTCCAATATTAAAAGCTTTTCTTGTAATAATTAGTAAGAAACATTTTCAATAGAAACTTTTATCTGATTTGATTCCTTGACATTTAAATCTATTTTAAATGAACTGGAAATCATTTGATCCATTTCGATCAGACATTATAAGAGAATGAAATACAGTGGGTAATCGATTAACGAACAAATCGGATAACAAACACTTTCACGAAAGATTTTTTATGATCGGACAACGAACACTTCACTGAAAAAACATAAGAAGAAGTGACGTAAAATGACAAATGTTGATCGGTCTTCCTTTGTCTTCAGGCAACAATTCGAAACTTTTCGAAGTGCGGGAGATGTCGACATCAACATTCTACCCAGTATATACTGATCGAATAGTATTCCCCTGAACTCCGAAACTTTCCTTTGTAATTCCAGCCTTTTATATTTCTGACAGAAACAATTCTTTTACGTTTTCTNTTAGAAGAATTTCTATAAAATGTTGCTAATATAAAAAGTTTTTAAGGGATTCAACTTCCAACCAAACACAGGTAAACAATAGTTTTATACATCACATGCTACCTAATGACTGCTCAAGAAAGAAATAAGCAAAATTAGAATTTTGTCATTGTATTGTAATATTTTTCATTTTATCATTACACAGAAACCACTAAAGTTATGTCTTAACAAACTTATTGAAATATGTCAATTTTAGTCCTTATGGCACTTAAATGCATCAGAGTGAACTTTTATCTCATAAAATTACTGAAGTAAAAACGTTATCAGCCAAATTGAGTTAAATCAAACATGTAAAATATTCCAAATTAATTGGATTATGGAAAACTTATACTTTAAGTCAAAGGCCTCCCACAATCAAGCAAGATCTTTATATATCACTGTCTTATTTCTAAACTCCAGAAAATAATTGACGGCCATCCCAAGAAAAATCTCCAAATTTTGACATTAAACAATTAATTTCCTTTAAAACTGACGTTACAGAGTTGTTGTCAGATGTTTTCGGGTTGAGTCAGTAAAATTCCATCTCTGGCAACCCCAAACTTAAATTTTACTATTGGTAAAAATGTGAAGTGTAGATACTAATTAAAAAGTATTTTAAAAAAATTTCTAAGAAAACATTGATAAATTTAGATAAACATAATTTTTTTCCAAAATTCATATTTTAAGATTCTACTATATACTTGAGTTTAGTCAACTGTCAGTAGGAAATTAACTATTCTCATAGCAGCTGGAGCGGGAGAATCTATTTAACAGACCAATTTATTACATCATTCATCAAATCGTTAATATATATAAATTTGACATATATACAGGATTCTTAGGAAAATTCTTACAACCCCCTATAACTTTTAAACCATCTGTTGTAACACCACGGAAATAATTGGCACCTACAGAAAAGTGACCACACACAGTCCATTGAATGTGATTGTAGCACCCCAACTGGCAAAGGAAAACTAAAAAAGTCCAATTACGTAATAGAAGAGCATTGTTTAATTAGTATAAAAAAAAGAATACTCGATTCAGCAGAAACACATACAGGAAAGAGTAGAAAAGACTAAGAAATGCAGAAAACAATAAAGACATAATACAAATTTTGTGCAGCACAGTTGCAAATAACCTGCCAAGTCTACTGTGCCCATTGTTCAAACTGTGCACCATCAGAAATGATACACTTCTGGGGACACAACCCACATCTTGAACAGCATGCAATATTGCAGAGGTTACAGGCTTTGACAATATGTTCCTTTAAATCTGCCATGGTGAAAGGTTCTGTAGTATTAACAATAGAAAACTAAACATTAAAAATTCCATTGTTTTTTAAGTATTACAAAATGGATTGTTTTGCCTGTCTCTCTTAATTTTCTTTAGTTCTGTATTTTGCCACTAGGGCACTAAAATCATGTTTGGCATAAAGTGGCTAGATATATAGTGGCCATGCAATATACTTCCACCATATTCCTTCCATTCCAGATTTCTGTGAATTATGTTCTAATAGAAAGTTTTTTGATTTTCAAAGCCAAAAATTGAATTCTTATATTTATTAAGGATTAAATTTTTAAATAAAAACAAAATTTAAGGCAAGATTGTTTACAAATAAAGCAAATTAAAATTCTTAATATTTCTCAAAAAAATTAAATAATATATGTAGGCTGTTTTTTTTTTACCTCTGATAGTCCATAAAAAAAAAAGACAAGTGTAAATAACAAAATGAATTTATTACCAAAAGTTAGCTACAAACCTGGTTACTTTTCAACATAATCACTGTGAAGATTGGGGCATTTGTCATATCTGTGGGCAAGCTTTTCCATCCCCTCTTCATAGAATGTTGCCGTCAATGATTTGAGATGGGTTGTAACGCTGTTTTGAAGATTATTATTAGTCTCAAACCTCTGCCCTCCTAGTCACTTTCTGTTCAGGAAAGAGGTGGAAGTTGCTCGGCACTAAATCAGGGCTATACGCCCAGCGTATAGCCCCGATTTAGTGCCGAGAAACTTAAAGGTGGTGAATACTTCCACCCAGCTTGGAACTTTAAATGTGTGAAGATTTCCACCTCTTTCCTGAACTGAAAACATGGCTAGGAGGGCATAGGTTTGAGACTAATGATGATCTTCAAAACAACATCGTTAAGGCCATCTCAAGTCACTGGCGGCAACATTCTATGAAGAGGGGATGGAAAGTTTGTCCACAGATATCACAAATGCCTCAATCTTCACAGTGATTATGTCAAAAAGTAACCAGTGTTGTAGCTAACTTTTAGTAATAAATTCATTTTGTTATTTGCACTTGTCTTTTTTCTATGGACCATCAGAGGTTAAAAAAAAAAAACAGTATATGTATTTTAAATAAGCATTATTACAGTTACATACATGTAAAATATTCCTTGCATTTTATGTCACATCAGAAAAATTGTTAAAAATAGTAAAGTATCATATTAAACATCGATAATGTTATAAAAAGATAAGTAGCAAATCTATAACAAAGTTTACTTAAACTTTGCATAGGAAGCAATAGATTTGCTACTAAAGACATTAAAAATGAATTCTAAAAAGCTTAAAAATCAAATAAGTATAAAATTATTTAACTTTTAGATTAAGTTATGCACATTGGACCACTGATGAACAAATTTTGAGTTGTTTATATTTGGCCACCTTATTTTTTAAAAAAATTTTATAGTATGTATTCCATAAAAGCATTAGAGTTGTCGAGAAGAAGACCATATGGTCGAAATGCATTTTGGCTTACTAGTAATAGTGTGTGGCGACAAATTAGTAACAAATGTGCAATTAGTCTGTTTTTTTGGGTCTCGTAACCCGAGTATTATAGTATAATTAGAATACAAACAAAAAAGCTAATTATTATTATTATTATTAATCCCATTTAGAATATTCTTAATTCATAAATAATGAATACATTTACTAAGATAAATTAAACTGTAGTTTCAATAACTTTTTGTCATTAATTAATGCACAAAATAAGTTAGAGAATGACTTTCAACACACACAAGCAGGTAAGCGCGCAATATGAAACTGGAAGAAATATGATGATTGGCTGCATCATATTTCTTCCAGTTAGTATAGGGGATATACAGACTTTCCTAAGAACCCTGTATATAATCCAGTATTGTATAAAATAATGAAATTCTTAATAATAATTTTTGCATTTTATACTTTAGATGAAAAGTTCAAAATAAATTTGCAGCTAAAAATTAAAATATACACAAATGTAGCCTGTAATAGTTTGAAACATTTAAATAAAAATATGATGCTGGAATAACAATAGGAAATTGAATTATGTAATACATGGCTAATCTCGTATGAAGCATATGGTAATTTAACTGAATAATTGATTTTTTGGTTTGAGAGTGATTATTTTTTGTTGTAAACAGCTTATGGATTTTCTTTTGATTTGCTAACAACAGAATTTATATCTGAAAATATTACTTTTCCTTTATAAAGTCAGGTAACTGAAAGTAATGTTAATATTATTCTAGTTTTTTATTGAAAAATTTCAATATTAGAGGTGAAATAAAGTCTCATATCTGGGAAATGACAAACATTATTGATTTCAATTATACAATTCATTAGATATATGTAAATAATAAATAAATATCAGATTGCTATCTTTACACAATAACTTGAGGCCACTATTAACAGAATTATAAAATTATAAATTGTTCTTCAAGTATTTACTAATTCAAAAAACTGGTTTTATGAAATTAAAACACACACACACACCCCCAAAACCAGTAAAAGGAATAAAAATATTTACTGATACAAATGATGTTTTTGTCCATTTCTTATTATCATCAGGTATATCATAAGGCATATCAAACAATGTTATCAAAGTAATCAAACACATTTAAATGTAAAGATTTGTAGTAGTACATTTAAGTATAAAGATTTGAAAGAATTATTTTAAATTTACACATTTAAATGTGTTTGATTGCTAATGAAATTCTGTTTGGGTATTTACATAAGGTTTTCCGATGGTGAGGTCTACCACATCTTTGTGCGATGAAGACTACCTATCTAAGTCAAAGCTAAGGTTGCTTGCCATTCTTATGTTTTAGGATGGACCGTATGAGGATAGTGATGGCAGAGACATAGTTTGACAATCAAACTTTGTGTTTATTGAGATGACATTGAGATTCTTACAATTAATCAGGTGTTGTCTTCAGATACAGAGATGGAGGATGATATCCTTCAACAGTGGTCAGTGAGGAACCTCTTTCGGTGATAGGCATCGGATGGAGGATGGTGTGGGAGTTTTCTTGGCAGGTCCCTTCTATAGTGTTCAGTGTTCATCACGGGTAGATGAGTCTCCTGGGTGGGAGAAGGAAATTTCTTTGGTGTTCATACCCAACTTGGTGATAAGGTACAAATCAGTGTTGCTTCAGGCTAGGACAGGACATGGTGTGAAAGGACCCCATGTTCTTGAGAATATAGCTTTTTATACAATCTGTCCCCAACTTCTGAGTTCAGATTGGCTGCAATCCACTGCTGCTCCCACTCTTATTGGTTCCTGACCTGTTGTTGGGGTCTGAATTCAGGTTGCAGAGATGATGACCACTCCCTTCTACCCCGATGAAGATCCACTCTCCCCACTGGGTTCGGTTACATTTCCTTGAATGATCACCTGTAAATTAGAAAAAATGGTGTTACTTTTCCCTTTCAGAGGATGTGGCTGTGTCAGGAAGGTCCCTAGCTACACCTTCCTCTGAGAAATTACTTACTTTTTCAATTTTGACCAGCTGTTATGTAACAAGCAAAGATTTACATTGATGTCACTTCCCTTCTCGTGTGAACATCATAAGGGAAATGTGACAAATAAGTTTTAAAACACCAAATTCATTTCCACAGACTTCAGGCAAATGATATATCACCCAAATATTGATATTAGTTTGGCAGTTACATCCCCTGCACCATTGGGTGAGGTCTAGGCTTCAGCTGACAT